CCTTTACCATCTCTGAGTATCAACAGCTCCTTTGAATCACATTCAGCCACTATTACCCACCCTCTTAAAATCCATTTTATAGTTGTTTATCGACCCCCAGGACCACTAGCTTCGTGGAAGAATTAGATGTGCTGCTCTCAACTTTTCCTGAGGATGGTACTCCCCTAGTTTATGATTGGAGACTTCAACATCCACCTAGATAAACCTCAGGCTGCAGACTTCCACACTCTGCTTGCCTTTTTTTATCTCAAGCGAGTGTTAACTACGGCAACTCACAAATCAGGCAACCAACTGGACCTTATTTACACACGACACTGCTCCACTGATCATGTACTGGTTACTCCACTGCACACCTCGGATCACTTCCTCCTCACTCTTAACCTCAACATGGTTCCTGACAAAACACATACATTACGAACACATCATTACGTGAACAGTGGATGCAGTTTGTTTTTCCAGGGCAGCAACGGAGTTTCGCAGGTGTGTTTGCTTGTTCCCGTCATTTCTGTAATGAAAGTTTTATAAACAAGGCCCAGTTCGATGATGGATTTGCACATTGTTTGATACTGAAAAATGGAGCGGTCCCAGCGATAAAAGATTCTGTTCATGAATCGGAATTGCAGGCGATGAGTAAAATGCATAAAATTTCTGTGTTCTGCATTCACGCCATATCGTAATTACTGTGACTACGAGTTTCCAACTTGTAAAAAGCATTCACATCCTCGCAGAACTCGTAATTACAACTTGTGAACTGGGAGTTTTCTTAGCGCTACAACTTGTACCACTACCACCGGACCACCTCAGATTCATTAGGTGCTATGTTTAGGCATTGATAGTGCAATAGTTCTGAGTCTAAGGGTGGGAACAGCACCAAGTAGAACGTCACATGTTGTCATCTCGAAATCACAGAAATTACAACATGGCGTGAATGCAGCATAAGCGCTCGCAACTCCTTAGCTCCGCTCACGGCATGCCTCCAGGAACTCGGCTGTTTTCGGAGAGAATAGTAAAGCTGTATCTTTCTTTTAAAAATCCGGTAAATCTAAAGACTCTTTGGAGATATGAAGGATGCAGTACTACTTTATAGGTACTCAAGATTAAATGGGTCATATGACGCTGCTAAAAAGAACATTATTTTGTGTATTTGGTATAATTAAATGTGTTTATGCAGTTTAAAGTAAAAAAAAACACATTATTTTCCACATAATGTACATTATTGTTTCTCCTCTATGCCCCGCCTTTTTGAAACGCGCTGATTTTTACAAAGCTCATCGGTCTGAAAAAGCGAGGTGTGCTGTGATTAGTGTTGGGTCGTTCTTGAATGATTTGTTCGTTTTGAACAAATCTTTAATGTGACTTGGGAAGAACGAGTCATCACGGGGAGTGATTCGTTCAGTCACGCATGCGCAACATCCTATAGGTTCTGTACTGGAATTATTCAAGTAGTTCACCTGGTTCGAGTCTTCGGGTTTTTCCGAGTCGTTCGTTCATCACGTGACAGCCCCATAAGCTTACCCTATGCAGTCTGAGCCGGAAAGAGAATTGATTAGTTCATCTCGAGTCATCGGGTTTTTCGAGTCGTTCGTTCATCACGTGACAGCCCCATAAGCCAAAACCCGAAGACTTGTCAGATAAGAGGTGGTGAGCTAATCATAGACTGAAGACCCAGGTAATTTAGGTAGACGTGGCTGACTCTTAACTTTTATAAAGAATATCTCTTTGGATTTGAGACTTTAGTCTTTGCAACTTTACAGATCTTCTTTATGCACCAAGAGCTTGTAACACTCCAAAGAGAAAGGAAAACTTGAAATCGCATCATATGACCCCTTTAACATGAGATTGGCCGAAACTGTGTGTGTTATGTCCCTTTAATAGAAAATGTGTTTTTAAATATTTTTATTTTACAGATAAAATATTGTTTTTAAGTACAAAGTATCCAACAACTTTTTTCGTCTAGTGAACATAAAAATTAGAAAACATAGTCCGAGTGCGCTACATGTGTACGATCGCGAACAAAAATCGCATTTGCTTTAGGAAGTAACCATGGCAACAGCTGCTCGATCGCAAGTAAGTGCTGTCATTATTTATCGTTTTATCGCAGACTTTACACTTCACAATATAACACGGAAATTGTTAGTGCTTAGTATAAAACGTCTTTAAGATGGTTAGCGATAACTACCACGAAAACCGGTTTATTGTGCGCAGAAGATTACAAGCAGAAATAATTTTGAAGTGACCCTTTGAAAGTCATTGAATGTTTGTCGCACAGAATTTGACATTTTGAGTGAACGATCCCTATCATCCCTTTATCGTTCGGTGGCATATTTGGCAACGATTTTAAATAGGACATGTTAAATCGGACTGAGTAAACAACAACCCCAGAACGCAACATGTGGGCCACTAAGCCTCTAACAAATTGAATCACCCACTTTTTCGCACTAGACTCATCCGGCTGTCACTGAGCATTATGAGTGACATACATTGTTACGGTTCTCGTCAACTGACGCGTCTGGCGCGAGAAAAGCGTTACACTTGATTACGGCCATCGAGATCACGAGCTATTACGAGAAATGCTTTCCATTAATACTTGGCAAACGCTGCCATTCCCTCTCGGTGTGTCGTGCCATAGCAGCTCTTTACCTTTAGAAACGATAACTTAGAGCTGGTCCAGATGATTAGGCAAGCGATTAAAGAGAGATTACACAGCAAAGGATCACTCGATCCTAGTGGAAAATAAATTCCCTTAGTCCACAGTGGGCGGTTATAAGAGACCTATAGAGGACTAATAGACGTCAAAATACAAGAAATGTGTTCTTAGAGAGGCCCGGGGGAAGTAAAGATCAACAGCTCCGTTGAGTCGAACTCACCGTGTTGTTATTTTTTCCAATGAAGACTTGTAGCTCGTCCGATCCTGAGCAGAGGCGATCCAGGCCAAAACAACACGCCTCTCCTGACAATCCCGCAGTCGCGTAATATATCTCCTTCAGAAGAGTGTAACTGTGTTGTGGTGGGGTTGGTGTTTTGGCCTCGTATACCGAGCTGGAGACGTGCGCGTCTGTGGGAGGATTTAAAGCGGTCGGACCTGCGAGAAGAAACTGAAAGGGAAGGGAAGGGAAGGGAGGGGGCCCAGGGGGGATCCCGTCTTGTCCCACTGCTCGTGACGTAGTACACATCGCCCCGCCCCTCTTCGAGGTCCAACCAGAATGTAACACTGGATTAATCTGTATATAAGTGTATTCAATTATCCGTCTACATTAAATATATTGAATATATGGGCTTGGTTGCTCTAGTGATACATGACCTGTTTTCACATTCAAATGAGCTAATATGAAGTGGTTAATTCAAACGAATTCAATCAATGAAAGTGGGCTACTTGACCAAATTAGGTGACACATTTTATATGGCTATAAAAAAAAAAATTCTACAACTATGGAACTGGTATGAAGGATATTGAGATGTGTCCAAGACCACAAGCCCTTTCTAAATAAACGGGGGAATCCTGAAATCTCAAAAACTGCCTGCCGACCTCCCAATTAAATTACATATTTCAAATCAGCAACCAAATCTGAAATAAACCGCACCATAAATGTTGTTATTTATGCTCAAATAGCCTTTAAAAAGCTTATTTTTTTTAGGCTAGACCAACAAATGCGCATGCGCGGTCATAAGCGCGATTCTCAGGTTTCTATGGGAACCGAAGCTTCTAACTGCAGCTGCAGTGACGCAATAACTTTACCAATCAGCGATTGGCTCTTTCATTTATAAGGCGGGACTATTCCGCCAAATTGCGCATAGCAGTTTCTCCCATTCATAAGTAATATGTAGTATTTCTAGTGTTGGATATAATGCGTGTGTTAAACGTTTTTACTTACTGAATAAACATAACTTGAATTAACAGGATATTATTTTGTTATGACACAGTAATTAATCATAGTAATTTACATTTACATTTAGTCATTTAGCAGACGCTTTTATCCAAAGCGACTTACAAATGAGGACAATAAAAGCAGTCAAAACTAACAAAAGAGCAACAATATATAAGTGCAAATGACAAGTCTCGTTTAGCCTAACGCAGTACACGTAGCAAGGTGTATATATATCTACACTATACACACACACACACAAAGAAAAACAATTAGATAAAAATAGAAAGCTAGCTTTTTTTTAAAATAAAGAATAACATTTAAAAAAAAAAGTTAAATATAGATAAAGTAGAATTAAAATAGAACAGAAAGTGTTAGAGTTAAAGCGGTCGGACCTGCGAGAAGAAACCGAAAGGGAAGGGAAGGGAAGGGAGGGGGCCCAGGGGGGATCCCGTCTTGTCCCACTGCTCGTGACGTAGTACACATCGCCCCGCCCCTCTTCGAGGTCCAACCAGAATGTAACACTGGATTAATCTGTATATAAGTGTATTCAATTATCCGTCTACATTAAATATATTGAATATATGGGCTTGGTTGCTCTAGTGATACATGACCTGTTTTCACATTCAAATGAGCTAATATGAAGTGGTTAATTCAAACGAATTCAATCAATGAAAGTGGGCTACTTGACCAAATTAGGTGACACATTTTATATGGCTATAAAAAAAAAAATTCTACAACTATGGAACTGGTATGAAGGATATTGAGATGTGTCCAAGACCACAAGCCCTTTCTAAATAAACGGGGGAATCCTGAAATCTCAAAAACTGCCTGCCGACCTCCCAATTAAATTACATATTTCAAATCAGCAACCAAATCTGAAATAAACCGCACCATAAATGTTGTTATTTATGCTCAAATAGCCTTTAAAAAGCTTATTTTTTTTAGGCTAGACCAACAAATGCGCATGCGCGGTCATAAGCGCGATTCTCAGGTTTCTATGGGAACCGAAGCTTCTAACTGCAGCTGCAGTGACGCAATAACTTTACCAATCAGCGATTGGCTCTTTCATTTATAAGGCGGGACTATTCCGCCAAATTGCGCATAGCAGTTTCTCCCATTCATAAGTAATATGTAGTATTTCTAGTGTTGGATATAATGCGTGTGTTAAACGTTTTTACTTACTGAATAAACATAACTTGAATTAACAGGATATTATTTTGTTATGACACAGTAATTAATCATAGTAATTTACATTTACATTTAGTCATTTAGCAGACGCTTTTATCCAAAGCGACTTACAAATGAGGACAATAAAAGCAGTCAAAACTAACAAAAGAGCAACAATATATAAGTGCAAATGACAAGTCTCGTTTAGCCTAACGCAGTACACGTAGCAAGGTGTATATATATCTACACTATACACACACACACACAAAGAAAAACAATTAGATAAAAATAGAAAGCTAGCTTTTTTTTAAAATAAAGAATAACATTTAAAAAAAAAAGTTAAATATAGATAAAGTAGAATTAAAATAGAACAGAAAGTGTTAGAGTTAGAGGGTAAAATAAAGGTGGAACAGATGTGTTTTTAGTCGTTTCTTGAACATACATACATACTTATTTAGGCATAGGCCTACTACAACCAAAATCAACTCATACATAGTAGGCTACAGAAACATTTAAGTCTTGATAATATTGTGAAATAATTTATGGAATTTCTACGTGTTTTCGTTTTTTAAATCTTGACTTTCTTCATCCATGGTTAAAAACGGTCACTTTGGTACCGATTTTACATCACTTAAAGATTACATTTGTAGATAAAATTTTTCTAGCATTCAGAGCATAGAAGATATGAATTTCCATGACCTGTCTCTAGACCTAGAAATGACACAATTCTGTTAATTCTGTAAATGAATTATTATTTCATTTATTTTACTATTTGTCAGGACCAGTGCAACCGTTACAAATGCAGAGACAGAGAAAGCAGAATACCAGGGAAAGCTACTATTTGGCCAACATCTCCGAGGTCCTCAGTGTAAACATCCGCAAACATCAGCCTGCGAGTAAAGTCTCATTGAAATGAGTCACCTTTCAGTTGCGCTAAAGGAGCGGAGACACCGAGCAACGCACCCCAAAACACAAACATGGTCAAACAAGTGGTAACAACCATATGCTTTTTTCTTTTTCATTGCATTATAAGTTACTGGGCGTTTATGTCCTCTTGTAGCATCCACTCATCCCCAAAAATCAGCATTCCAGCGATCGCCAGGTATTTTGGTACCAAAGGTCGCTATGAAGATGTCAACACGTACTTAATCGACGATCTTTTGGCCACAAACAACTCCCTTGTGACGCTGCCTTCCTCGAAATGCAGCGAAATTCATCTGACAGCTATAATCCGGCATGGGACGAGGTACCCGACCACTAAAAACATTCAGAAGATGCGCGAATTTTATGATCTCGTCGTGCGTGATGCGACCGGCAACTTAAACTGTTTGTCAGAGATAAAGTCGCAGTGGAAGATGTGGTACACGGATGATATGGACGGGCGACTGGTGGACAAGGGCCGTGCGGATCACAGGCACCTAGCGCAGAGACTCATCAAATGGTTCCCTTCTTTGCTGACCGAGGACAATGTGCGTAACGGACGCGTGAAACTGATCACCAGCTCCAAGCACAGGTGTGTGAACAGTACCATCGCTTTCAGAGAGGGACTAATGAAAGGACTCAGCATAAAAGGTAATGCTTGAGGACCCAGCCCTGCAGTTACCGCAAGCACTGAATCATCTGCATGCCCTACTGTTAAATCATTGTTTTCCAGCATGAACATATGCTTAATTTAGCCCTAGCCTGTAATCTTGGTTCTTCGTACAAAATTTGCAATAGGCCAAGTGCTCATTGTTTCTTCTCAACAGCTGTGAGATTCAGTGAAGAGAAAATAGAGACTTGCACTTTTCAGTTCTATCAAGTGCCTGTTTCAATTGTAAAATGATAATGTAAAAAATATCTAATTCAGTTGTATTTCATTGACAGGGGATTCAGTGAAGAGCAAATGGAGACTTTTGCTTTAGTCTTCTCCAGATTTTTCCTTTGAAAAAGGCCACAGTAGCTTAATGTGTCGCTTAACTGATATATCAATATTCACAGAAATCATTATTGTCTTATCACCTACACTCTTTGCTCTACACCAGGGGTGCCCAAACTCGGTCCTGGAGGGCCGGTGTCCTGCAGAGTTGAGCTCCAACCCCAATTAAACACACCTGAACCAGCTAATCAAGCTCTTACTAGTCATACTAGAAACTTCCAGGCAGGTGTGTTGAGGCAAGTTGGAGCTAAACTGCAGGACCCTCCAGGACCGAGTTTGGGCACCCCTGCTCTACACTAATGCGTATTCAATGATGTGATACCTGTTTATGCATTACACATCATTTTAAAGTCATATTTGTCCAATTGTTGAATTACACATATTTTATCGAACACACTCTAAGGAGGTACAAACACATATTAAATCGATTTTAGGGTATCTGAAAACTTAAATACGCTTATGTGGACCTTCAACAGTTGGTTGTGTTTGTTGCCTTGATGAGCACACATAAAGTATATACTTACAATTCCCACACAAGCAAAGAAACTTGTTGCTAAATGGACAGACAAACAGAAAACACGTCCACAAAAGCAAATCTATTTTGATAAATTTTTGTTTTGATCAACCCAGTTTTTATTAGAAATCTATGCTGAATTTAACTTCCCCAACTGATCAATAAGATTACAAAGCAACATAAAGTCTGGTTTTAAGAGTTGTAGTGCCAGGGTTGTAAATTTGTAATGTCAATTCATCATGTTTTATTTTTTAAATGTATTTATTTGTTTCATTTTCTAGTTGAGTTGGAACCTGCTGTTAATGACGCTTTAATGCGTTACTTTGACCAGTGCGAACGGTTTGTGAAAGAAGTGGAGAACAACAAGAGCGCCTTGGAGGAAGTGAAACGATTTAATGAAGGCCCTGAGATGAAAAGAGTAATGGAGAAAATGGCTGACAGGCTGGATGTCCCTTACGCCAGCATCACCGATGGTCAGTGATGACTTAATATGATCATGACCTTTTTACTCAGTCACAAATGCTGAAATAAAGCAGTGTCCAAAATGTTGCTGTGCAGTTTAGAAGTGTGATAATGGTTTGTTTGTCACGCCCCCTTACCATTACGGGTAGTTGCATGTTCCTGGGGGCAGGGTTTATGTAAACATCGGGCTTAGTGATGTCACAAACCTGGGAAGAAGCTTGTTGTAGTACCTACCAGTCTTTTTTTGTAGTCCTTAACAGCGATTACTTTAAAAGAAAATATCTCCCTTTGCATTGAACTTTGAGTGTCGTAACTTTGCAGACCACTTCAATTTGATATGTTGGTTTTGTTTTATGGAAAGAGCTGTTGTACTTCCACCAATTTCAGAAAATATGTGGCAAAATTCAGTTCCCTCTAAATGTAATGCCCTTGCAACCACAACCACAAAACTTTGCACATCCGAATATTGTTACAAACACTTCCTTCCCGATTGCATATGAGACTGACATGTAAAATAAGCATTTTTAGATGAGAACCTAAAGACAGAAACATAGGCAAATATTTCTAGTAACCATTGTTTGCCTTTTCAAATAGTTATGTGCAGTGAGGATGCATGTAAAGCATCATTCAAATTGGATTAGAAATTCTTGAGGTTATTTATAAATATATTTAAAAACATATCTACAAACTAAAATGGTTGGAAATCTAAAAGATTAAGAGATTCCAAGTCCATAACTCGGAATTGGTTGACCGGGCTGGGCTTCCAAAGTTCAAAATTTTACATATGCATTGCAACCACAGCACTAATATGTCCCATAGGTTAGATAAGTTAGAAGTTTTCAGCAAACAGACACACATTGATTTGATTTTTTTTATTTTGAATTCCAGCACCTTTTCTGTTTGACCTGTCGAAATATGTATGCTTATTTATGAGGTTAAAATACTTCTCCTATTTTGCACTTACATTTTCATCTTGAATTAAAAAATAGTGGGACAGTATCCATATCATTTCAGTTTATTTTGGTGAAATAGATTGAAGCACTGGGTTTCCATATGAAATACTTCAATTTATTTTGACAGTTTGCTGTAGCTTTTACTCTCAACAATAGAATTAAGATGGGAACATTTGGAAATGAGAAGCACAAAAGCAAGAAAACCATTCCACAGTTGATGAAGCAGGATTTACTTAGAGAGTTTAGAGGTCAGGGCTGCTCACTTGATCTGCTGCTGTCAGCAGTTGTATATCAATGCACAAACAGTGAGTGAGAGATAGAGAGAGGGAAAGAATTTCGCATATTGTAGCTACTGCAGTCTTTAGTATGACCATTAGATGGCAGTGTTTATTGTTTTTAATAACTTAGAGAAAGTGCAAAAATATTAGATTGTCATATACACAAACACATTTTTATCAAATATCCAGACATAACAAAGAATTAACATTGCATACAGAAGTGTACAATTTACTGTCTAATTTGGTCTACTGTCTATTGCGTTAGCAAATGACACATTGTTTTGCTTTACAGATTCAGTGGAAGCAGCTTTCTTTCTGTGTGCATATGAGTTTACTATCCATGATCTGAACTCACCCTGGTGCCAGTTGTTTGACGAGGTAGATGCACAGGTACTGAAACAGCGCAGTTCTTCTGTTTGCCTATCTTTACTTTTCCTGGGAGGTTTTATTTAAGAAATAAAACATTTCCTACATATAGTATATATATATATACTTAAATATAGTATATATATAAAAATTTAGGGGCACAATGCAAATTTTTCAAATGATGTGTTTTAGCTTAATAAGGGGATATAAGGAGACCTTTAGAAACACGATTATTTAATTTATCCGAATACAGAAAGTACACAAGGTTTTTATATAATTTTGCTTCAGACTCTATTTAATAGGCTGATTATGTAATTATTAATAATCCTATTGTATGTACATTAGGTATGTGATGGTATCAAATTTTCACAATAGTCGTTGAAGCTGTTATCACGGTATATGGTTTTATCACAATATATAATTTAGTAAGTAAAAAAAAATTATTCTCCTCCTAACAGGTTAAATAACTTTATTAAAGATATTTTACTAAAGAAATACTTTATTTAATAAAATACACAAAAATATAAAGTAAACAAGTGTTTCAAGATTAGAGCGCAAAAGATTAAAGTTCAAATGAACGAAATAATAATAGGTAACTCTTTAAGGTCCCATTAGTTAACTTTATTTAAAGATGGTTAACATTAACTAACAATGTGCAATAGATAACTGTTATAGTAGTGAATATTATTTGTTAACGTTGATTAATA